ACAAAATCAATTCGTTGATCCCCTATTCATTCTGATCCACGCAAAAACAAAAATAATTGTTATCACCAATTAAAATACACTCTCCTAAATTTAATCGGTGACACTGCCATCACATTTGAATTTGGTATGTCCCTGGAATCATGAAATTTAATTCAATGCTTTCATAGTAACCACAGATTACCAGATATAAATAATACCAAATTGTTACATTATTTTTATTTTGTCCCCCAGCATTATCACAAGTAATTTTTAAATGCTTTTCACCTTTATTCAATTTCTTAATTCCATCAAAGATCATACTAAGAGTGCCATTAGGTTCTTTTCCTATGATTTCATTTTCATCAAGAACATAATCAATCTGTTCCCTTACTGCTTCATCTTGAATACCAAATAAATGAACTTTATATGGACTAAGGTAATAGATTTTACTTACTTGTTGATCTAAATGTGGCACATGAACATTTTAGGCTCAATCATAACTATAATGAGAGTAGCATCAATACTACAATACTGCAATTTACCTTGAGAATAATTTTGGTCAACTAATTTTCTTTGTTCTTCAGCTAATTTAGTATTTTTATTATAATAATTTCTTTCTAATTTGGTCTTGGACAGATGTTCTTTAAATCTTTTAAGTAAATCTTTGGTTTCTTCCTCTTGGCGAGCATTGTAATGTAAACCATTTCGAAAACATTGACAAATATCACACAAGTCAGTCCTTGGACTCATAATTTGAATTTCTGGTGTCAATTGATGTCATAACTTCCTGAATGCATCATATTTTAAGGATTTCAACTTACTGTTTTCTTCCAGACCAGCCAGAAAATCTCTGTACTGTATATTGATTTATAACTCATTTCAGCTGGTAACAATACAATTGATTGAGTTATTCGATTGTTACTTCTTCCTGGACTTGGTAATCCATGAACTACTGCATAATTTTCTAGAAAATTCTTTACTACTTCTGCAACATTTTTATCAATCACCATTTTAGTTTTCCATTGAGGCATTCTTTAATATTGCCATGAATTCTTGGCAGAAGACCACTTTCTATCAGATGATTTCTAATATTTTCAAAATAAGCTCTGCCAATTCCTAACATATTGAGATAGGTTTCTTGACAAAGAAGTGTATTGTGATCCCGGTTATAGAAGGTTCTTTTATTAGATTTGGTTTTCTTTTTAAGGCGTCTGCAGGTGCTTATAGATCCACCATCCACTGCTTTAAGTTGGGCCATCAAAATTAGTCGCATTTACTTAGTCAAAAATCATTTCGTCGACACCATTTCGTCGAAAATTTGGTTCATCCTCGAGCCAGAGACCGAACGAGTTAGATGTGAGGAGTGTGGGAAGTTAGTTAAGAAATTAGGTGAGGAAAGCGGAGTGTGTGGGAAGTGTGAGGAGAAATTTGTTTAATGAAGTTTTTTTCCTGTGATGAAATATTTTTTGACGAAATGAACTTTCTACATTTTAAGAAATTTGACGAAAATGACGAAGTAGATAATAAAATAAATATTTCAAATTCATGCATGATGTAATTCATCAATTGCTTATAGTAAGTAACAATTGGTTAGCTTCAAAATACCAAAATAAAAAAAAATTTTATACACTTTAAAAAAGTTAAATGATAAGTTTTGTTGTTCATGGCTCAAGCTTCAAAACTTATCGGCTATTTTTCTCTTAAACTAAAAATTGGCAGAGCCTTAACACTTTGAAAATTCCAAATTTTGTTATACGTATTTATTTATATCTAAAATTAGAAGCATTCTAATTTAAAACACAAAGAATATTACTATCAGCCATATATGTAATTTAGTTGGTTGCATGTGATAGATAAATAACAGGCTTACATGTCTTTCTGTCTATTGCAAGATAACTTTTCAGCTAATTATTTGACTTTTGGACTGCTCTTGTTAGTTAATTGCAAGCAAGCAATTCAATTAGTAATTTTACCAATTAAATTTGGTCCTTGCTTAATATTTCTTTCTTGTACTTAGAAAGCGGTAAAAAAATGTGGTGCTGTTTTATTAATGATGGCTTTACTGGAAATCAAATAATTACAATATGAAACAATTTATCCTTCAAATTAAATTGAATATAAATCTTTTAACAAACGTTTTTAATATATATATTAACTGTTAATATCATACTGATATTATCTGATAATAATATTTGCGTTACAAAACTGGATCGAAAATAAAGAATTGTGCAAATTTTATCGTAAAAATTTGCATTTTCTTTTTTTATTTACAACAAAATGTCAACTTGCTTTTCGTCATTAGAAAATTTAAACTTATTATTTGACAACCTTATCGATTATGACAAAATTTTTATTGATGATATAATAAATATCAAAGAATTTTTTTTTTAGAAAATATTAATTTGCTCTCTCCATCAATAGAAAATTAAACTTGTTAGAAAAATTGATTGAATAATGTTCAATTTGATTTACAAAGCGCCAAAGGAATCAAGATTCAAATTCTTTTTTTAAAGTCTCCAAAAAATTATTTTGTTCTAATAATAATTTTCATTATTATTACCCTTATCCTTATCCCTGTAAAAAAAATCGATTCGTGATTTAAAAATTCGTGTTTTCTCCAGAATTATAAAATATTCATGGAAAATTACAGAAAGATTACGGGGAAAAGATGGACTTTGCCATTGTTGCAAATTTGTGGAAATCTCGAAGTGTTCCTGGAATTAAAACTCAAATAATGGATTATTTTTTTTTATAGGGTATACTTATCTTTGTTCATGTTCTTTAACAAATTAAAGATAGAAAATTTGCCGTATTATAGTTCCTATTTTCTCCCGATATGCAGTTTCGAAAAAAATTTTGTTGTAGAAGAAGATTCGTTTAAAAGTTACGGAAAACGGAATCAAAATATTCCAACATTTTGCTTCTCGATTTTAATTGATGAGATCAATGAGCTATTTTTTCTTTTTTGCTGCAAAAATATTTCGTTTTCCAAAAATGTCAGGTTATTTTTACATAGCCGTGTCATGCGAATTCTATTTGTCATGTTTTGTATAATAATAACCGAAAAGTTTGTCCCGAGCATCAGGTTGTTAAGCCAAATTTTAAATGACATTTATGAAATAGGAGAAATTTATTTAGCCAATCAGTCAATATTGATATCATATGATTCATTAAAAAAATTGTATATTAATATAGTTAATGAATGAAATCTTTTGTTTTTATCCGAAAAAAAATAGATTTTTTTTGTTCTTAAAAGATTTTAATAATATTAATAACAATAGCTGTAATTTTTACGTGACTTTTGCTTTTTTTTTTTAGTATAGAATAATAACACGCGCATCATCATTTAAATTTTTTGTTGTTTTTTTTTCTTGGATTTCTCCAGTGAGATTTTAATAATGAAAGAAAAACAAAATACAGGTCGTTGGAGTAAAGAGGTAATTATATATATATCATTATTTATTTTATTATTACAAGTGAATTATATGATCTGCCATAATAAATCATATAGGAAGATAAGATGTTGATTGAATATGTACGCAGAAATGGTCCAAGAAATTGGAAAGATGCTTCTGATTATGTAAAAAATCGAAATCCTAAGCAATGTAGGGAAAGGTAAATTATGAATTTTAAATTTTTTTTTTAATTTTTTAATTTTTAAATAAATAATCAATCACCTTATATATGTATAATATATATTAGATGGGATGGGCATCTTAAACCTGGTAGTAAGTATTATATTTGCATAATCAATTCAATAAATCTGTGAAATACACTAATATTTACAAACAACATCATCATAATAATATAGTAAATAAAAAACCATTTAATCGTAAAGAGGAATTGGAAATCATTAGATTACGTGAAAGAGAACATAGCAGATGGAGAGATATCGCAAAAAAAATTGGAAACGGTAGAACCCCCAATGCTATTAAGAATATTTACACGCAACAACTATCTAAAAGAGTACGCAGACCATTAAGAATAGAAGGTTATATAAAAGGTTTCAAAAATAACACAAAGCCAAAAATTTCTGTCATTAAAGAAAGGTAAAATCAATTTAATTAAAGTTAAGATTTAATGGTTTTTGGTTTTCGAAATGTATGTTTTTTAATTTAATTTGTTTTTTTAGTCATCCACATATGAAGTTAAGTTACATTACAAATTGACAATAAGGATATAAATATACCTGTCAATACACGTGTAGTATATGTACCATATATAATAATTTTGATTTAGATAATTGTGAAGGAGGAAGAGGGTAGAGGGATTTAGTAATTAGGAGAAGAATTGGGAAGAAAGGAAAAGAGTGTTTGTTATTATAGGGTTTTATTTATTTTGCATTTTTTATTATATAAAAATTTTTTTTTAATCAATCCTTTAATTTCTTTTGTTTTCCATCCCTTGATACTGTTTTTTTTATTATATAGCTTTTTTCGTATTTTTCGTATTATTCGTTTTTCTATTTTTATAAATGTCATTATCAAAAAACACATCACATGGAATAACTGACTAATAATCCAAATATTTCGTGTAACTGAATTGTTCAAATAAATTCATTTGTTTGTTTGTTCACTTCTAATTCATTTAAAATAAATTTCCTGTTTTGTCAAAGTTAGCCGTTAAATATTTGTGTGCGCCTACAACGTCCACTTTAAGTGAAAGGTTATTTTATTTAGTCAAGCTGGAAATACAAAAAAAACAAAACTTAATCGCTTTTATTTGAAAAGATTGTTTTAATTTTGATAGAATGTAAAATGATTAATAAATTTAAAATTTTTTGTTAACAATGAATTAATTTAATTTCCTAATAAGACTAGAGTGTTTATTCCTATATATTTAAAAACATAGATTTTAATGGCAAGTAAATATATGTTCGATTTTTTTTTATATATAAAAAGTGAATGT